TCTTTGCAAATCTTCGGTTTGTACTTCTAATTCGTGACTGGTGTTTTGTTTTGTTCTCTCTTCGCATTCGTCACCATTCACGCAACACCGACGTCTTACGTCATCTGCCGGAACGGCTTTCGCGTATGACAGATACCAGAAGTGAGAGAAAAGTGTTCATTACATTTGAAATATGGATATTTTTCTTACAAAAACACATGGATTCGCTACAGGAGGCCTTTATTCACCCCCCGGAGCCGTGTGAGGCACGTCGAGGGTGAGTAAAACACAAGCTAATTTTCATTTTTGGGTGAACTAACCCTTTAACAAACCGCATATTTGAAGTCCAGACAAGTACATTCTCGCCTAACATGCTCTTAAAACTACATTCCGTGACACAAAACAGTATTATTTTTCAATTATAGTAGATTTGGGCATCCGCCATGACACTCGCTGTGAGAAATACAGCAACTTTGGCAAGCGGCGTGATACAAAAGGTGAAACGGCTGTTGGAGTTCTGTTATCAACTCTAATATCAACAATCTTATCAGCCAATCAAATTTGAGGACCAGAAAGAACAGTTGTGTGTATATATACAGTTCACGCTAATTTAAAAAGGTATCAGGTTTTAACAGCTTTTGTCGTTGTTGTGAAAACCTAAAATAATAATACAAACAGAACACTATTATAATACAATATTATGAATATTATGCTTTAGCTATTCATTATTCATGTTTTCATATAGTAACATGATGACTAGCATGTAAATTGCAAGTTGTCAGGCTGCTAGCAAAGCACTTGAGTTTAGCGGCATTCATTCACTGTTCAGCTTCATCTCACGTCGCTCAAGCAGAACAAGAGAGTCTGATTTTTCTTAATTGGCGAGATTTGAGTCCTCTGTGTTTGATGACGTCTAAAGCATGCGCTCAATTCACGGCACCCATCCAGAAGCTCTGGCAGATTGTTCTGATGACGGCCATCAAGTCTAGCACGTTTCCTTGGGCTAGTGAGTGTCTGGAGAGCCTCGCGATCAGCATCTGCTGCAGAGCACACGTTACACCTGCACATTATGAACACTGCACTGATATTTACATGGAATATTTATGAGCCGTGTTAATAAAACTTTTGGTCTTTATCACTGGGAAACCCTTCCAGGTTTGAAAGCACCATCATTAACACAGATCAAAATGCATCAATCAACTGGCGAATCTCACACAAACTCAGCCTGCAGAACTTCAATTAATTGTTCATCCAAATATGAACATTCTGACATCATTTGCTAGCGCCACATAGTGCCCCAAGCCTACTCTTTAGAAATAAAAAAAAATATAGATGAATAAAATAAATGGACAATGAGGCTATCAAATCCCAAAAAATAATTTAAAAAGGGCTACTACAAATTTGTTTAGATTCAGTTTGATTATTTTTGAAATTTGTTTTAAATTAAATAACACATACAAAAATATTTTGAAGAAAATGAAGAAAAAGTTTTTTAATATTTAAATATTATTTATAAATTTATAATTATTATAATTTATCTATTTTTAGTATTTATTATAATTAATTTTAGATGTAATTTATGTATATCAAAAACATGAATAATTTATTATTATATAATTCAATTTTTATACATTTTATTATTTTTTATTATATTTTTAAATGATAATTTCATGTTAATTTAAAACGGTATTAGCTTTTAACAAAAACAAAACTGTCCTGGTTGTGAAAACCTAAAATAATATTATAATCAATTAAAATTAAAAT